GAACTTGTAATCCTCCTTCCTCAGCCTCCTGAGGCACTGGGATTACAGGCATGCACCACTGCACCAATTTATTTCTCTTAATATAATGATTTCCACTTCCATCTATGTTCTTGTAAGTGACAGAATTTCATCTTATTTTATAGCCAAGAAGTATTCCAGTGTGTATATATACTACATTTTCTTCATTCATTCTTCAGCTGATAAGAATTAGCTTGCTTGTTCCATTTCTTCTTTTTACCTCTGAGGGTGCATAGGAAGACTTTTTTTATTCTGATTTTGCTTTGTCTTCTGTTTGTAAGACCTAGTACAGTACCTATCCTAAGGAAAGTGCCCAATACATATTTATTAGGTGAATTAATGAATGAATCATTTGGAAGTTTTGGATTGGAAGAAACAGTGCTGATGATTATTTGTTCTGTTGTCCCTGAAAATGTAAAAAATGACTAAAAGTTTATATCTATCTTATTTTCTTTTATCTTATTTTTTGGTCTTCAAATTTGAAAATGAAACAAGGATTTAAAATGAAAGCTATTAACATGTCTATTATGGAATGATGTGATCTTAAAAGAGGCTTGTAGAGATAATGCCACTGGATGAGGATGAGCAAGAGCATTTTGAAAAAGTTAACTTGCCAGGGGAGTTTGGGAAATTCACCAAACATCAACTTCATGTCCCTTATTTCTTGGAAAATATTACAATTCTTTTGACTGAGTCCTTGAAGGCCTGTTGTACTTGCTTGTTCCTTAGTGTGTAAATGAAAGGGTTCAGCATGGGAGCCATAGAAGTGGTGAGGACAGTCACCCCCTTATTTATGGCCACTGAGTCCTTTGCTGAAGGTTTAATGTAGATGAAGATGCAGCTGCCATAGGTGAGAGAAACCACAATCATATGGGAAGAACAGGTAGAAAAGGCTTTTTTCTTTTGCTGAGCAGAAGGAAATCTTAAAATTGTCTTGATGATATAAATGTAGGACAGCACTACGCACATGAGTGTCAAAATGAGGGTCAGTACAGCACAGATGATAATGGTCTGTTCCATAAACCAAGTATTTGAACAAGAGATTTTCAGGAGGGGAAATGCATCACAAACAAAATGATCAATGATATTAGAATCACAAAACTCCAGATTCAGGCCTAGGCTCAGTGGGGGGGTTAAAATAAACAGACCTGCTACCCAACAACAAAACACAAGTCTCCTGCAGACTCTACTACTCATGATAGTCACATAATGCAGGGGCTTGCAGATGGCCACATAGCGATCATAGGACATGGCAGCAAGGAGAAAAAATTCAGTTACACCAAAGAGGTCAGTAAAAAATACTTGGCTGACACAGGCATTGTAGGTAATCATCTTGTCACCTGTTGCTATGTTATATAAGTATCTGGGAATACATGCAGATGTGAATGAGATCTCCAAG